TGATACTCGATTTTTTTAAAGATCATCTATAATGTTCTCCCCATCCTCTCGCTTACACCAAAGTTTAATCCCACTATAAATAATATTGACCCTATTTTCAAGTACAATCTTGGCCATTAACATTTGGACAATATTGGCAACAGCATTTTATAAGGCCAAATATTTGCGGCTAGTCTCCTTTTCGTATATCATCATCAACAACAACAACAATGTATGCAAATTTTTGTACTAAATTTGTTGTTGAAATTCCCGATTAGTCATGAACTTTTCATTAACGACAGGCGAGTGTATTTGAAATAGGGAATGCACATTTTCCTCGCAGTCGATTCCGACACAAACGGCAATTGGGAGAGGGAACGATCGAAATACGAAAATATCTTTTGAATTGTTGTTCTTCTACCTCAGACAATAAAAAGAAAATCAATGAGGAATGGCATCATTGCTTCGAATCTGCAATTGGAACATCTTTTAAAATAAACTCCTACAAATAGAAAGGCAAGCGAATTGAACTTAAACAACAGCAACAACAACAATAACAATCACAAGTTTTCTTTGCAAATTCCCAAACAGGCAGATACACAAAATGAATGAATTTTAAAAATAACGATGACTTTGCTCATGGCCATGGTTAATTTAATTGATTTTATTCTATTTTTTTGTATTCATTATTTGCAGAATTTTCTTTTTTGTTTCATTGAATATGAAAGTGTTTTCTTTTTCTTTTTTCAAAATATACTTTTTTTGTATATATTTATGTATCTATAAAGTTATATTCAGCGGCATTTATGCTGTCGATTGAAGATAAGATAAAATCCATTAGTATATAAATGTTGTTTTTATGAATGAACCGTATATACATACATATATGAATATGTAATTGGCAATAGTCTCCCTGCTTGCTTATATATGTTTGTAATGTTTGTCTTGTATTTTTTCGCATATTGCTAAGCTTTGATAAAACGAAAACAAATTTTGTCTTCTGCCATAAGTCTTTTGAATGATATTTTTGAAGATCATTCAAGGTAATAAATTATATGTATTGCATCTTGAGTTAACCTTCCATCTCTCGGTAAATTCACTGATGGAGCTACATACATAATATATAAATAAATTAGTAGTCTCAAACTCAAATTGGATACGTTGGCCGCCATATACGTTTAGACAGCATTCTTTAATTGTTTAGTGCCAACCTTGCTTTCCAAAATAGCAGTCTAACGGATTGGTATCCGGAGATTCTTGGGTGGCGCGTGCTAAGTGCAATAGTGCTGAATCCTTTTGGAATGTCCTAGATCTGCGGTCAAAATTTTTGCGTGCTCAGCGCTTTAATACACAGTCCAGAATATCTTCCCGATAATATTCGGTATTTATTCTGATGCCACGGTCGAGAGAGCGACCATCGGCTTTTATGGCGGCCCACACCATCACCGTGGACGGTGCTTGAGTTCTGGTGGCCAACCGAAGGTGCACATTTTGAGCTGACCTCTTTGGCAAGTAAACACGATCATTTTGTTTGTTTACAAACTGCTGGACAACGAATGTTTTCTCATCGGAGAAAATCAAATTCGGCAGTTTACCACTTTCGGCCAAGCGAAACAACTCTTTAGCTCTTTTGAGTCTATTTCCTTTCTCTTGCGGTGTAAGTTCTTTCAATTTCAATGGCTTTATCCCGAGATCATTTTTCAATATTTGCCGAATGGAATATTGCGATATGTTCAGCTCACGATCCATTTTTCGCCACTGCGACACGAGTTTCGATCAAGTCACTTCTTTACTTTCGAACCATTTCTGCGGATGTTGCTGTTTTCTTCCGTCCACTTCCTTGACGTCGGGGTGTTCTAACGATAGCCACTTGTGGTTTTCCACCCAAGTATAAAGAAATGACACTATCATTTTTCTGGTAAATTCTTACCAAAATGCTTTTGTACGCTTGTAAACAATATAATGAGCTGTCATTGGAATAATAACAGCTGTCGGACATGTGGCTTAGAAGTGACAGCAGTCTGAAGTTGCATTATTTTATATATTTTACTTCATTATATATAAAAACCTTCAATATAAATTATAATTTGCTATCTTTGTAAAAAGTTGAAAAAAAAAATAAGAAACAATGGCCCAGTAGGTATGTTGTAGAAAAAATACTGTGTGACTTGCTTAAATAGAAAACAACTTTAATAAATGAAAATAAATCTCCCAAATTTATTTTACTTAAATAAATTATTAGCACTAAATTTCGTTTTAAGAAAATCAAGTTGAAATGAACTGAACTTAGGTACCTACCAATACTTTATCGAGTTATTGATCGTTTTCATGATATCTGTTGCACTACGCTGCTGTTGTTGTTGTTGATTTATGCTATTGATCCGCAATGTGAAGGTTATCGGTGAACAGATTTGCTATGCGCCAGTGACACGAAAACAATATTTTTTACGGTGTCACTCACTCAGTGTTTGAGGTGAACACCTTTTGGATGCGATCACTGCATCGACAATTGGAAAAAACAAAACCAAAAACATAGATGCATTTGAAACAAGTTTGAACATTTATTAATTTTTTCTCTTAGTTTTAGTTAGAACGAAAAAATAACAAAAACGATTAAATGACATCAGCAACATTACAAAGTTGGGGTTACGTCAGAACCATTTGAACGATTTGAAATCGAACAAATAAGAATTTAAAATTGTATATGGTAAATGGACCCTGTATTTATCGTTGTCAATCAATAAAAAATAAATACCTACGCAATTTTTTAAAATCCTTTAAGAAGTTTACATTTAATTCAAAGAAATACAAATAAGTAAAAGAAATGAAAACAGCTCCAGTTTTCAAATCTATTTTTTTTCGTAAACTAATTCAAGTCCAGAAATGTCACGTTAATCAAAGTCAGCTTCTTTAATGTTAAAGCTCTCATTTTGGCATGTGACTTGTTTCTCATTGAATACACAGTTTATTACATTTATACATACTTACATTTGAACGTATGTATGTGCGCACATAAACACACATTACTTTTAGCGCCACCAATTATAATTAGATACCAGTGTAAATGCCACCCCATAATACACGAACATTTTCGCGAGAGGTCTCACAACTATTTACGACGAAGTATTTTTACCCCTCGGAAAACCGGTCGAATTTCTCATTAGCCGGCAAAGTTGACAACAAACTTTTGTATGTCGTCGCTCACTTAAGAGAGTATTTTTATTTTGATTTGTATTTTAAGAGAGTAATTGTTCAATTCATGCAATATGTTCAGTTTCTCTTCCAGGAAAGCGTTTTAAATTCCATCACATTCAATTTGAATGTTCGAAAGTTTGTTTGTATGATTCAAACTTTCGATTATTTATGATGGAACAGTTGTTCGTAGTTTTTTATGAAGTCGTTTTTGAGAAATGACATTTTACGTACAATGGGCAGAGATTGTTTTTTAAATAAATTAACTGAGTTTTTTTTTTTTTCGATTCTTAAGAATTATTCTATTTTATTTTAAAAATGAAATGTTCGGCTTGGGATTCGAACCGAACAAACAAAATGATCGTGTTTATTTGCCAAAAAGATCAGCTGAAAATGTGCACCTTCGGTTAGCCACCAGAACTCAAGCGCAGGCCTTGGTGATGATGTGGGCCGCCATAACAGCCGATGATCGCCTCCGCTCGTATTAATCGACCGGGGCATAAGAATAAATGTCGAATATTATCGCGTAATTATTTTGGAGGGTGTATTAAAGCCTTGAGCACGCCAACATTTTGGCCGCAGACCTTGGACATTCCAACAAGACTCAGCTCGCACCACCCAAGAATGGTTACAAAATGAGGTTCCTCGCTTCATTTCCAGCGCACAATGACCACCAAAATCTCCGGATACCAATCCGTTGGACTATTTTGTCTGGAGTATTTTGGAAAGCAATCTTGGCACTAAAAAATACCAAAGTGTCGATCACCTCAAGCAACCGCTTCGCCTGGAATGGGCCAAAATACAGCAGAGAAACATTCGGGCAGCGTGTGAGGGTTTCATTGGCTATAATTCGTGCCAAGGGCGACCAATTCGGACAAATCTAAACATATTCAAAATTTGATGCAAATTTGAAGCAATTCCGGTGAATAATGTCGCTAGAATCATCAAAATACCGAATATCGGGAGGTACCGTTATATAGGGGCTATACGAAGACGTGAACCTGCACAGGGAATTTTCTGCCATAGGCCGTAGTATACATTACGAACTTCCAATACCAAATTTGAAACATTTCCGGTGAATAATGTCACTAGAATCATCAAAATACCGAATATCGGGAGGTACCGTTATATGGGGGCTATTCCACAACGTGGACCTACATGGCCCATTTTCAATACCAACAGTATTGCAGACATAGTAAACATTTGAGTAAATTTTTTTCAGCCTACTTCATTTCGTTCGGAAGCTAGAGTGATTTCCCAAGACGGACGGGCAGGCGACAATTTGTGGGGTCTAAAATGTATATTACAAACGTGGTGGAGGGTATAAAAATAATGAAAATATTTTTTTTTCACTGTCGAGGAAGTGACTTAAGTGATTATTGGAAGTAACGCTTTATACGCTATGATACGTGATTTTCACTCTGGTAGTCCTATTAGAATTCCATTTCGTTGCTTGCTCACCTTGTCCATATACATGAAATACTTAAAAAGGCCTCAGAATCTCTTTAAAACAATCTCGTGGCGTTTTCACCTATTCCATTTACCCTAATAATGGTACGATTAGGAACAATATTTTCTTATCGCATATTATTTTAAAATTGTCCAAGTCTATCTTCACAAACGCTTACCAATTTCAATTCATGCCGTACATTTTGTTGTTCACAAAGAGTAACATTTCAAGTTTTACCATCACTGATAAACACTCTCTTACCTTGGGGTCTCTCTTCCACCACTTGCACGCTTCTCTTAACTGAAATTCAAGTTGTTGTTTTTCTCACCAACAAATAACTGCGCACCCAGCAAAGGTATGTTAAGTTTGACTTGCCGTTTCAAAAATCAGTAACGAAAACGGCATCAGCCACTACGGATTGGAATTTTTTAGTTCGTTTGAAATTGTTTTTGATAAGGAAAAATAAAAGTGAGACAGCACACACAGTGTTAAAAGAAACAGAAAAAAGAAGAATCATTTTGAGTGAAAGAAGATGAGTTAGAATGCTCGCTAAGAATAAAACAAAGTAAACATCACCATCGACGGTGTAAACCAGAAAGAGGTGTTTGATAACAAAAGAAGAAAAATTAGATAATAAATCAAAAAACCAGTAAAAAAAGGAAGAAAAGATTGTGAATGAAGCAAAGAAGAAAAACTCCAACCAAAAACGCCCTTTCCTAGGTGTATCAAGCAACAACAAATAAAACAAGAAAGTTATAGAGAAGTGGTTGAAGTTAGAAAACCAGACCAGAAGATTCCCACGACAGACGGCAAGCAGCCAAGCTGCTCAGTGTTCGGCTTACGTTAGGAGGACGACAAAAGAAAGAAAAAGAGCATCGTTTTTTATTTATGAATGGATGAGTGAATGGCATCCCAAAAAAAGTTGGAAATTTGCGTTTGAAATTTGTTATTTAATTTTTGTAAGTGTTTGTGTTATCAGTTTCGAAATTTCGCCTGTCAAACGTAAGAAACCAAAATTAATTCAAAAAACGAAGGAAATTCAAAAAGAAAAAACAAAACTGCAAAATAGTGTGTGAGAAAATTGTGTGTAAAATTGTTAACCCATTTACCGGCATTTGCACCGCCCTTACGAAGCGAGTGGTACACGTTCGGCGTGGTCCGTGTTAGGAAAAATCAATTCGAGTTGTCGTGCAATTTACGTTCGTTTTGTATTCGTTGTAATGTGTCCGTACTTACCGTAATTTCCAAGTTGTAAACGTTTTCATTTAAAGAAAAGCCGAAAGACCGAAAGAGAGAAGGAGAGCCAGAGAGAGCGCAGTACTTAATAACCGCTTGTGAAAAATTGATGTGGGACTTAAATGCTCGTCGACAATGGATAGTAGCACAGATAAAAAGCACGAGCAAGACCCTCCACCGACGACGGCTGAAGGAGTCAATGCCGGCAATCAACCACCACTACCACCGGAAAATACGCAACATGCTCCTGTGCCAGCAAAGCGCAAACGTCGTATAGTACGAACAGCTGTTGAGTCATCTACCACCACGACTAGCAGCACATTGTCCGGACAACCACATGTTAGCAGCCAAGGCCAGAGGGATGTGGAGGACACGACTACTGTTGGTGGCCCAAATATTGCTACTGTCAGCGATCAGGTGTTTGGGTCAGAGCTGCACGAATCATCCACCATTACCAGGACTTTTAAGAAGACAATAAAGCAATCCCAGGAATTTATGCATTCATCCTCCAGTTCCCGAGAGTATTTGGTTGAGGAGGCCTCGGAACGGTTGACCACACCACCTCAAACGCCTCAACGTCTGAAGAAGAAAGTGGCCTTGTATGAGAAGGTGTGGTCCTCAGGAAGTGGAAGCGGTACGGAACTTAATCTTCCCATGGACACTTCAGTGCCTAGTGGCCAAGAGATGCCCACCAGCGATGACAATCCCTTCGACATTGATGTGTTCGAGATTGAGAAGCGTCTACGTGAGGAACGCAAACGTGGTTTGGCTGAGGCCGAAGCAGCTAAGCAGGCCTTTCAGCAAATACAACTTCGCTCGACGCCCCAGCCCAAGCCGCGCAAAGTAGAGGTGCAGGAAGACCAATTGGCAAGTCCATTCAATGTTACCCTGAAGACAACCAGTAAGATTACGCCTGGCGCGGTAACTGGTCGCATTGAATTGGAGGAACACTCCAGTTCCTCGAGTCCCTTCAATGTCACGTTACGCACAACTCAAAGATATCGACGCCATCCGCCACCTCCAATGGAACCCTTCGAGAGCCCTTTCAATGTTACGCTACGCACTACAACCAGACATCATTCCTCGATAACGCCCCCCTCCTCGGCATCGTCCTGTTCTTTGAGTCCTCTTAGTCCAGATGGCAAGTTGGCTTCGGCCAGATTTTTAGAGGGCGAAAGAACCGTTCGTGAGGTGAAGTCAGCAGATGGTGTCACCACCATTGTCACCTCTTCCATGACATCGGATGGCAGTAAGCATGAGGAGAAAATCTTCCGTCATGGCGAAGGTTACCTATCGCCACGCAATTCACCACATCGGGAGATGAGAGCCTCGACTCCTTCCCGCTCGGTGGATATGATGGCCGGTGGTCGCCGTATCTGCATCAAATTGGAACAGGAGGAACAGCAAATGGAAATGACAAGCAGCTACAGTGAATCCTTTGATCAAACTGACTCACTTTCGGCCAAACGACGTCTATTCGAGCCTTCCGTGAGCTCAGGAACGGTTTCTTTGGAAACACCTGCTAACATTGACATTATTGTGGGCAAAGGCACTCTGAGCCACCCCCAACAGCTGCAGCAGCAATTTCACGTGGAAACCACCAAGCAAACAGAACAAATGCCATGGCAAACGCAACAACAACAACACCACCACTACCACCCTTCGAGCCCCTCGACCTTAACTGCCAAGACTACGACAAAAATAACAACTACTTCCCATCAACACCAGACCAGCAGCAGCAGAAGCAGCAGCAGTCGTCGCAGTGAATCACAATACGAATCCTTTGAGACCGTTCCGGGCAGAAAGACGACTAGTCTTACGAAAACGATACAATCGCAAGGTTCTTCGCCCTCAGAAGAATCTCAACGTGGATTTGTAAAAAGAGAAGTATCCACCCAAGCAACGACACCGCCAGCACCTGCATCCGACCCATCACGGATTGGTTATTCCCCCACATCACCCCGACAGCAGAAACCGCACAAATATTTCTTTGGTGAGACGTTGGACGTTGAACGTCAGATTGCGCACACTACGAGTAGTACAGCCGCGGGTGGCGATTTAGTTAAGAAACGTTTAGAGCTCCTGAATTACGGTCGCGACGGTCTCGGTCACGGTAGTGGCGAATTTGCCCACAAAGCGTCGTACCAGCATCAATCGGCTGAAATATCGGACGATTCGGATACTGAGGGTGCCGCTGCTAGCAGCATTGTTATAGTGCCAGCACGGTCTGCCGCCACGTCCGATTTGGAATCAAGTGCCATAACGACAACAGTCCATTCCCAACAAACGCATTCCACAACGGCTAGTGTCCCTAGCCAGGGTACTTTGTCTAAGAGTCTGCCCTTGCCGCAGACTCAACATCCTCAAAGTACCGTTCACAACACCTCCGCTACAGCAGCAGCAACAACTACAGCACATTCCACAAACGAATACCAGGAATTCCAATCCACTATGGCAGCAATCAATTTTGCCCGTAGTAATTCACAATACGATTCACACATCAAGGAGAAACGAGGTAAATATATTTGGTGTTTAGTTTTCCTGCCTCACCTCCGCCCTTCCAACCGTCCTTGCAGTTTCATGTAATTGTATTGAAATGTAACCGATTATCGAAGTTATCGATGATTATGGTTGCCACAGATGAATGGGAGAGTATATTTTAAGGTTTATACGGCTCTTGTGTAAAAGAATATTTTTTCCTTGCGAATTGAAAGCGGATGCGGGATGGTCTATAAATTAAATACAGCCATAGATTATTCGATATTAAAACAGGTTGGCTTTTATTTAGCACATCTCTGCTAATTTATATATTACAATCTCAAGAATTCGGTGTGCCAGTGTGTCTAGTATTTGCATGGTTAATATTTTTCCGAGAGTATTAAATAACTACTTGCTCTTCCACCATTTTTTATCTATCAATGAATTTGTTGACTTGTATTATTTGTTTTGCCATAGCTTACCCCGATAAGATAAACTCGGACTCTTTTGAGACCTATAAATAATGATCTAAACCATGATATGTACATTTGTAACTCGAAAGATTTTTAATTGGAATTTAATGCCTTTGAAATTATTTTTCACCTCTAAATAGTCGTTGTTGATTTTTGAAGTCTCTACTCTAATACAATCAATTAACACTTGAACATTGGCAATGTTTTATTTATTTTATCTATCAGATCGCTATTTGTTGCTAACGTATTTCAAAAGTGGCAAAGTATTTGGAAAACAAGTTAAAAAGTATCGGTCGGGTTTGCCGACAGATGTATACCCTCAGTCTATGTTCGATTATTTAAATATATTTTGACTTGTGTTATGATTATTCAAATTGTTGACCATCTATGGAGTAGATTCCGAAGGAGTGGACCAATATTATCCATTTCGTATCGGACCTTAATAAATATGACAAATATTACGAAGTGCCAAGCTTGGACTATCTTGGTTACTTTCTTTATTTTATATGACATCTGTGGTAAATTTTTGAAAATGTTAAAATGTGCGGTGATGTACCGATAAACCGAAGTATTCCATTGTTATACTTCAACTAATACAAATAAAACCAGCAAAGAAAGTCTTAAAGTCGGGCGGGGCCGACTTTATGATGCCCTACACCACTTTGCAGATTTAGTTGAGCTTCACATAACAATTAAAACTTTATATGGGATAATCATACAAGCTATGAGTATAATTATAAATTAAAGTTCAGTCCGAAGAATTTGAAGTCCGAAGAATTTGTATCTTTTTAATTGAGGCTTGTTTTGCCCTTTTGGTGCACAATTACCTTGAAATCGGATAAAGATATATGGGAGCTTTATCAAACTCTGAATCGATCTCGATAAAATTTGGCAAATATATTTCTGGGCTGTATTTGATATATTTCCCTGAATATCGTTGTTACGGAGTGCATATTACGGCTGTGAGCAACAAGTATAACAAATCGGATGAACAATATATGTGGGAGCTTTAGCTATATCTGAACCGATCATCACCAAATTTGACATACTTGATTCTAGACTCAATTCAGTCGTAAGTACCAAATTCCATCCCATTTGGACTAAGTTATATATGGGAGTTATATCTAAATTTTGACCGACTTTCTCCAATTTCGTATCTTTTATTTCGCTTTCTTTGAGCGGCTTGTTTATCAAAAGTTTGAACCCTATGAGGGGGAGGTACGAGAAGAAATGGAAATGGTCTAAATGGAATCGGAAGTTAATTTCGGCCTTTTCTGGGGGAGGTACCAGAAGGAGTGAACCAATATTGCCCATCTCCGAACTCGATCTAAAAATATTACGATGTACCATGTTTGGACCAATACCCTCCATACTATGGTGGATGACATAAAAATGCGCAATTTTCTATAATTCGCCAACGAAGTTGACAACTGTTCTATAATCCGCAAAAAATCGCCATGTCGCCAAATCAAAAATTAAGTCTCCAAACAAATTTGAAAATTGACACGTTCGGAGAGAAATCGCCATATCTGGCAGAATTCAGAATGTCGGGTGTATTTCATTCGGTTTGTTTCATTTTCTGAAAAAAAAAAAAAAACGAAAATAATATGTCTTCGCTAATGATGGTAGGAGTACCCTTAATTCGGGAATTTGGTTCACTTCTTTGCCAGAATAGTAGAATTTATATGCCGACAAAATATTACCCTATCTCAATCAGTATAATTATATGAAATTAAATAATTTGGAAAATAAATACTCATATTAAGCGATTGAGCACAATTATAACTAATTTATAAATGTTAAATAAACTTTTGATTGAATTAAATTAAAAAAAAAATCTCAACTTTAACCTCAAAGGATGATCTAAGTGTTATTGACTGCAGCTGTCGGCCTACCAGCCAGTCAGCCAGTCAACTAGACAATCAAACCTATCAAATCGCTATGTCATTGTAACTCAATCGATAATCTACGTCGTATGTCAAGAGAATCAAGGCAAAATAGCAACAGCAACAACAAAAAACACCAACAAATTTCTTGGCTAAATACTCTAACGAAACAAAAATGACATCATTTTTTATTCTGAGTGTGTAAGTGTGTGTGTGTGTGAGCTATTTGCCACATTATTCCCTCCTTCAAAGTTTCACTGGAAATATATTTTATTGTTAATGACACAACATTCTCGTCCTCGGCTTGATTTGAATTAAACATTTAGTTTTGGTTAATTTTGAGTTTGAGTTTAGCATTTTTCCATATGGATTTGAAATAATCCATGGGAATGGATGTTGTTGCCTGGCTACCCGTATTACCGGCGTGCCGAAAAAAAACACATAGAATAAATATTTAAATATTTATTTAACATTTAGTATAAGTTGCTGTTGTTGTTGTTTGGACTTTCTGTCGTTCATTGGCTGTGCTTTCTTAGAATCTCATTTAAGACTAGATAGAATGAATATTTGTTTTTAGTTTTGTTGTTTCGAATATTATTGTCATCGTTTTTTTCTCATCTCATCATTGGTGTTCCCTTTTCTGAGGAGACATTGCAAGCCAACGTCAACTGGTATTCCAGTAGGATGGTCGCAAGCTTTATGTCCACATTAATTGTTTATTTATTTGCTTTTATTTGCCACATTTTGTTGTTGACTGTTTTATTCTTGGCTGCTGGCGATGATATCATTTGTTTGTTATCTTGAGGTTGTTTTTAATGCTTTTTAAGAGTTTATTGGATCTACTTCAAAGTGTAATTTGAAAATGCCATTGAAGAATGATTTTTCTTATGGAGTTATTAATATTTATTGACAAACAATGAAATGAGCTAAGCGAGATATTTTTAATTCTTATAGTCGTTGGAAATTTTCAAAAAAAAAAAATAAAATAAATAAATAAATAAATAATTAAATAAATAAATAAAAAATAGAATCCCTTAAAAATCTCTTAAATACTTAAAAGACGAAGACGTGAACTCGCATTGGCAATTTTCTGCCACAGGCTGCAGTACCCATTTCGAAGTGCCAATTTGAATTTCTAAAATCATCAAAATAACGAATATAGGGAGGTACCGATATTTAGGGGCTAGGGGCTATACGAAGACCTGGACCCGCATAGATAATTTTCTGTCATAGGCTGTAGTATCCATTACGAACTTCAAATACAAAAATTAAAACATATTCGGTAAATAATATCGCTAAAAAAAACATTAAAATATTGAATATAGGGAGGTACCGTTATATGGGGCTATGCGAAGATATGTACCTGCATTGACAATTTTCTGTTATAGACATACAAGGTGAGATAAAAAACTGCAACAAAGTCAAAAGCCATAATTTTTATTATTTGGTTTTAATTTTATTTAATGGAAGCGAAAACTGTTGGAAATAGCATCAAATTTTAGATAAGTTTAGATTTGTTCGAATTGGTCACCTTTGGCACGAATTATGGCCTTCAAACGGCCAATGAAACCCACACACACAGCCCGAAGGTTGCTCTGCGGTATTTTGGCCCATTCCCGGCGAAGCGCTTGCTTGATGTGATCGACACTTTGGTATTTTTTAGTGCCAGCCTTGCTTTCCAAAATATTCCAGACACAATAGTCCAACGGATTGGTATCCGGAGATTTTGGTGGCCATTGTGCGCTGGAAATGAAGCGAGGAACCTTAATTTTGTAAACATTCATGGGTGGCGCGTGCTGAGTGCGATGGTGCTGAGTCCTGTTGGAATGCCCAAGGTCTGCGGCTAAAATTTTTGAGTGTATATACCCTCCAGAATATATTCGCGATAATATTTGGCATTTATTCTAATGCCATGGTCGATTAATACGAGCGGAGAGCGACCATCGGCTGTTATGACGGCCTACACCAACACCATAGCCGGCGCTTGAGTTCGGGTGGCCAACCGAATGTGCACATTTTCAGTTGACCTCCTTGGCAAGTAAACTCGATCATTTTGTTTGTTTACAAACTGCTGGACAACGAAAGTTTTCTCATCGGAGAAAATCAAATTCGGCAGTTCGCCACTTTCGGCCAAGTGAAGCAATCTTTAGCTCTTCTGAGTCTATTTTTTTCTGTTGCGGTGTAAGTTCTTGCAATTTTTGGCATTTCAATGGCTTTATCCCGAGCTCATTTTTCAATATTTGCTAATGGAATGGTTCAGCTCACGAGCCATTTTTTGGCCACAGCGATGCGGGTTTTGATCAAGTCGCTTCTTTACTTTTCGAACAATTTCTGTTGATGTTGCTGTTTTCTTCCGTCCACTTCCTTGACGTCGGGCTACGCTACCAGTAACAGGTAACGTACGAGACACAAAAGATTTATCCACATTTAAATGCGGGAGTGCTCTAACGACAGCCACTTGTGGTTTTCCAGCCAAATAACACTATCACGATTAAATTCCATCACGAATAACTTTTTTTCTGGAAAATTCTCACCAAAATGCGTACAGCTCGTAAACAATATAATGAGCTGCAACTGGAATAATTTTAACAGCTGTCGGACGAGTGGCTTAGAAATGACAGCAGTCTGAAGTTGGTTGCAGTGTTTTCATCGCACCCTGTATTTGAATTTTTTTTTTA